ACGATTTGAGAGTTTAAAATTTCCTAGTACATTTGTTGTTTTTCCCATAGGAATTTCAAATGTTATGCCGTTTTTGTTTTCCCCATAGGAATTTCGCGTGTTTTGACCTTGTTTGTTTAATAGTCCCTAGTACCTTTGTTATTTTTCCCATAGGAATTACGGTAATTTGCAACATCATTTGTTTGTGAATGGGAAACCTCTACGCTGCAACGCCTGGGCAAAGCCCAGGCGTTGCGCGTATATATATATATATACATATATATATATGTATATTTGTTCTATTTCCACATTTACATTTGTACACCTATGGGGCAGGCGGCCATGTTTCTGGGAGGACTTAAACCTGGTCCACGACAAGTTCATGTTTTGGCCTGGGCGAGTGGTGAATGCTGCCAAGGTTCAACGGTTGAAACTTTAGACCGCCGGACCGCATGAAAGTGGATCTGTTGGTGCTTACCCTCTGGTAAACTAACATAGCTACGGAAATCACCATGTTTAACAGGTAAATCAACTATAAATGGGTTATTTTCAATAGCTATGTTAAATTGCCAGAGGGTACAACATAAGATAACTTTGTGTTGAACTCTGGGCGTACCTGTGGGGATGAGATGGTCATTGACACTGATTTTGGGGTCGCATGTTTGGATTCCTGTTGAGTGTAGGGACCCGCAGTGATACTGACTCACGATGACCTAGAAACCATTCTCAAAAAAAAATCAATCCTTTTGCACAGTTCGATGCTTTTGGGGCGATGATACCAGGGCAATGAAGGAACTTTGAAGGAATTCCCCAAGTCACGCGACCATCCAGTTGCTACAGTTGCTGGTGCGACGCTATGGATTGGATCGCCCCCCGTCACCCTGGAGGTACCAGGGTTGAGCCAGGGTTGAGCCGGGCAGGCGGTGGTTTGGGATCAAAATGGATCAAAGGAACCAAAAAATTTGATGGTTTAGAGATGTTTAGAGTTTCCTTTTCCCCATTGAAATAGCCATAACTTGAGAATACTTGAGGTATCACCCATTGACCCAAATTGGATATAGTTGGTTAATGTTGGTTATATCCCCATCAAATACCCATTGAACCACAATTTTTAACTAGGAAAAACATTTCTGAGAATCGACGAATGCCCCTGCCGCAGTCCTGTCATCGTTGTGGGGGCCTGAACTCTGCTGCAAAGTGTGTCCTGGGTTTGGCTCAAAATCATCGCAGTCACCCTCCCAAAATGGATGAGATGGCATGAACAAGTATAGTTTCGTACAATATATGGCCAACAATTTATAATGTTCGTCTTCATAGTTATCCAACTTGGGACTTGCAGAGAAATTTTGCCCAAACTGAGGGAGGCATCCCTACCACCAAATCTCCTAATGGCCCTGGAGAAAACCTTGGACTTGGTGTTTTGGTCAAATGGATTTAGAAATGCTGATCAAATCTGTAAGTCGAGTGTTTCGTGAATGGTTGCAGACGAATTCCGATAGCTGCTGAAAATCACCAAACTCCTGTTTTTGTTTTCGTTGGTAATATCCCCACAAAAAACACCAGACTATACATATACAATCATATACAGTATGTAAGTATAATATATATATATGTATATATAGTATACAGTATACAGTATACATGTAGAATACTAGTAGATCCCGGGCAAGCCGGGTGACGGAAGTAAAGAAAAGGGAGAGCCTATAGGAACGACGCCTGACCGGCCGGTTGTCACGGCCGTTGACTCCGTGAGTTCTTAAAACTCTTTCTGCTTCGACATTTCTTTCTCTTGAAATCCATGCTTGGTGATGCAACTTTCTCTTGATCTGGTTTGCCCTTGACATCTTTGAATCTTGACAGCCCTTGGCCCTTCCTGTTGCCTGCTGTTTGCCTGGATGTCTTTTTCTCCCTGACATTTCTTTCTCGCGGCTTCCTCTTCTGATGATGCCACTTTCTCTCGATCCGATTTGCGTTTGTAATCACTGGATCTTGGCAGCTCTTCCTCTGGACAGCTATGGAGCCTGAGACCGGACACACTCTTCTTTCCTGATAAACCTTTTCCCCTATTCTCTTCAATTCCTTACTTTCTTCACTCCGCTTTTCTCTTCCCTTCCCTACTCACAGAAGCTTTTTTACACACAGACGCTTTTACACGCACAAGCTTATACACACAAAAGCTTTTACACACACAGAAGCTTTTGCACACAGAGCACCTTTTACACAGAGAATCTTTACACAGAAATTGCAGCTCCAAAACCGGATCTCGGCGCCAAAACAAAAAAACAAATTTGGAGCACTTTTTAAAAATAAATTTAACACGAAAATCATCAGCGCCAAAGTGGAGAAAACATTGCTGACAAATCACCATCACAACCTTGATGCAGCCACTCCAATACGATTTCCGACTCTCAGCTGCCAAAGACTAGCCACTTCACCGCGATCTGCAGAGACTAAGTTGCAAAGCGCCATAGAACCTACTCGCAAAACCAACAGAAATTGCAGCTCCAAAACCGGAACCTGTACACAGACACTCCACTGCCATCTACAGACACTGAGTTGCAAAGCACAATAGAATTAGGCGCGACGAAGCGCTTCAAACATGACCTTGACGAAGCAATTCCATTGCGATCTGCAATCACTGCCTTGCAAATCACAATAGAACTGCGCCAATGCAAACTGCACGCCTGGATGGCCAAACGCAATGGCATAGCCCATTGACTCATCTCATTGACCTTCTTCAAAATCAACTTTGGAGTGTAGGATGCGTCCGAGGACGTCCCCGCGCAAAGCCGCACCCTTCGCACAAGCGAGGTTCCCAACAGTGCCGCCGGAAGACACTTTGTGCGAGAAAACACAAGGGTTGGTGCAGTTCCTATAGTCACCTTGACGAAGCATTTTCACTGCGATCTGCAAGCACTTCCTTGCAAATCAACATGGAACTGATGTGGTGATGTGGTGATGTGGTGATGTCATGAAGATGTCATTGTGATTGATTTTCTTCTCTGCCACATTTTCCGTATAACGGAGTTGAGATTTCTAAATTTCCTTTGATGACGATATCACTTCATTAATTGGATTGGTTTAGGGGAAATTGAAGCCGGAACCCCGAAATAATTTGATGGTAAAACCCATGGTTCCGTGTGAGATATCGCTCTGCAGCAGCTCAGGTCTTTGATCTCCCAGATCCGGGAATGACTTGGAACGGCAAGCAGGTGGCTCCTCGACCCCTTGGGATTTCTCCTTTGGTTGCTAGTATTGATAGTAAGATATGGTAATTGCCTGATGATTGACAGTTTTATGTCACACAAGCGCATGTTCATCGCTTTGCATGCCATACCCGCAGAAATCATTGGATCATGGAATGACCATCTCCCAATTTGCCGGCTTTGATCCTCAAAATTACCATATCTCAAGGAAGGTTTTCGGGGTCATCTGAGAATTTGGTTTCATCCAAGACGGCGTCAGGTGAAACTCTACAGAAACCTGGCCAGACAGGGTCCCACTATCCACGATGGTTTGACCTTTGCGTCGCTGCTGGCCTGTGATTTCACTGGAAAACCCTTGAACTACGTTACCGTAGTGATACATGGCTGGTTGGTGATTTGGAACATGAATTTTGTTTTCCATATACGGGATAATCCTTCCCATTGACGAACTCATATTTTTCAGGATGGTTCAAACCACCAACCAGATGGGGATTTCGCATTTCAAGAAAAACCTTGGAAAACCTCAAAGGATAGGAACTGGTCGATGAAACAACCGACGATTTTAACAAACCATCATCTTTGTTGGACAAACGTGTCATTTCTGTGACTTGCCGCAGCTGCGACGCGATCTTTTGAGGTAAATTCACATCTCGTCAAATTCTCCAGTATTTGAGATTGTTGGTCAGAAATGATGTGAATTGAAGGCACAGGATCTAACCAGCTGCCTCCCATGTCGGAGAGAGATTGAAACCGGGAACACTCAGAGTTTCAATCCAGCTTCAATGGTTAACTCATATTAACTCATGTTGTTTCTACAAATGGCTATACTTGTTTCATCTTGTTTCTGTGTTAGTTTGAGAGTACAGGTTCCAATTTCTACTTCTACACAGTATAGGCTGTTCTCGGCGTTTGGGATTGTGCTCCCCCGTCGCGGCGGCTTCGCAACTTGGCGCTGCGCTCGCCAATTTTTGGCCCATGGGTGAAGCCGGACATCATATGATTTGCGTTTGGGAGGTTTATACAATATATAATAATAGTATATATTAATTAATAATAAGATATTATAATAAGATTTAATAAGATATAATAAGATTTAATAAGATATAATAAGATATAATAAGATATAATAAGATATAATAATATATAATAATATATAATAATATATATATAGATATTTAATTAATAAGATATAGTTGATACCCACAAATCCAAACTTGGCGAGTCACAGATCTGTTGACTCTCAAGATCCGGAAAGGCCGGGCTACCTTTAACGGTATTTTCAAGAGAGAAGTTTTGGTTTCTGTTTCTTGTGGTTTTTAGATCGGTGCCACAAGGTCCCAATGGACCATGCCATCGATGCTGATGAGGAAGTGGCGCAGGACGATCCCCAGTGACCATCACCAGCCACGATTTTTTTGTTCGAATCCGGCGATCGCCGAAAGCCAGGAACGGCCTGAAGGCACCAAATCCGAAGCGCTCACTTCAATCATGATAGAGGCGCCCTTTAGGGTGCGATGTGGCAGGTGTCAAACGATGTTCATGATGGGTTTCTGAATGAGACACTGGTTGGTGGATGTTGATGGTTAAAAATAGCCTTAATATTCTATCCTACTAGCTGATGGTTGCTACTGGGGATTTGGCCATGGCTAGGAGATTAGACACTATGGACTACTACATACAGGTTTTGATGAAACCTCACACCATGGGAATGGTTAGAGAACGCTCCTGTGCTCCGAACTTCCGGAACTTGGTTGTCATTGAAAGCAGCGGAAGGATTGAAACACATAAGTTTTGTGCCCCCCCTCTACCAACATCTACCAACATCTACCAACATCTACCAACATCTACCAACATCTACCAACATCTACCAACATCTACCAACATCTACCAACATCTACCAACATCTACCAACATCTACCAACATCTACCAACAAACGCATCCAACCTTCACTGGACGTGCTGTGAGGATGGCAGAAGTCTGGGCACCAAACGTGCCCCGGCACACATTGACGCTTTTTGGGATGAAGCAATTTGACTGATAGTTTCAAGATGTTTCAAGATGTTTAAAGGAAATTTAGCGGCTTTTTCAGCATGTTGAGAACAGCAGCCGAAGTTTCCCATTTTTGATGGCCTTTTTGTACTGGGATGGGATTGGGAGAAGATGTCTGTTGAAACAGCGATGGGGTGAACTTCGAAGATCCCACCCGGGACTCCGGGACCAGGTACAGTGAGTGCTTTGATTTTACCGCCGCAGCGACAAGATAGCCACTGGGCAGCACTGAGCAGCTGGAGCTCGGGGTACGGTTGAGGTGGAACGTGGAACATCAGTGGTTGACCTTGGAACTTGTGATTAGATTTCTTTCAAGCATAGATTTTGAATATGTCTCAATATGTTTGAATATGTTTGAATAACAATGGCATGGCTAGTCCCTTAGCAAATGGACCTCTTGGTTCTGAGCTGAGCTGAGCGGTTTTGATTAGCAATCCGGCTGTGAAATCCTTGGAGCCAGGTATTGAAAGCATCATGGAAGTGGTCCACAGCTGAGCTGACGAGGAATTTGAGGATCGCAACCATTATCGTAACCATTATTTTGCCACAACAATGGAGCCCCGAAATCCGAAAATCAGAAATTGAAAGAGGTGTTGCCAAATATTTTTTCACTGCCTTCGGTGAACCAACGAGACAACCAATCTTGATCAGATTTCTGGAAGCTTTCCACTTTCCATTTCTAGAAACCGGAAATCGCTTACCAGAAACTGCCTTTGGCTGCACGCCCCTTATGTTCCGTTGTGAGAGTTTTTCGACGTTGCACATCTATCATCCAATTTCGCTTTAGCCCTTTAGCTATTTTTCTTGGGGGAACAACAGAAAAAAACATGAGAAAAACAGCTTTGTTGATCATCTGAGGTGCGTGAACGAGTGGGGATGCTGCAAGGCACCGTTACTGGAGGCAGCCAGCGGAACGCCATGAGTTGACAGTTGACAGATATAGGAGTAGCATGATGCCACCTTTCCAAGGCTTCCATTGTCAGCCGTGTTTGAGTCTGTTTTCAGGCAACTGTAAAATTTTGCTGAAACAAGGATTCGTAGAGTCTTTGACTCTTTGTTTTCTTTCGAAAAAACGATCCGATTGATTCAACAGGTACAAACATGTAAAATAAATACGAATGTCATAAATAGAGGTCACCATATAAATGCTATCAATATTAATCCCTAAAAAACCTATTGAGTCTTACTGCATGGTTTTTCCATCGTTGACGGCCAGGCCTGCTCGCTGGGTCAGAGGCGGATGACTGGAACCCCAGATGGCGAGGATCACCAAAGACCACCCATCCACAGGCGAGCCGCTGGAGCATGGTGGATCTGGTTCCCATCTTTTTACCCTATAAAACAAATATGTATCTATATATATATTATGAATTATATTATATACACATCATAATCATTATATATATATATATCATATATATATAATATATATATAGGAACAGTTCGTGTTATTTTACTGGATCTGGATGGAAAACACGGATTGAACATGTTCCTTTCTCCCGAAAGCACGGGATTTCGACCCAATTTTGACCCAATGGCGGGCCCAGATGGGTGTGTCCACCAAGGGAGCTGCTATAAGCTATGGAAAATCACCATGTTTCATGGGTAATCATCGAAAAAATGGGCCATTGTCCAATTGTCCATGCCATTTTCATCCATTTTCCACAGCTATGTTAGATTACTGGAGGGTACTTTGGAGATGTTCAAGAACAACCATGTGATGTGTTCTGATGAACATTTGTGCAGGAGTCAGCACCCTCTTTTTTCATGCCGAGCCCCACAAGGGCCGGGCTGCTCAGTGGTCGCGACATGTCGCGACTCTAACTCACCGACTCACCAACACACAGATTTCAGCAACTGGTCCCGCTGAACCATCCATTCTGTTTGGGCCGAAAATTGATCAGACAGATTCCCCCCACTGGTTTTCCACGGGTGGAGCAGTCAAGATGAGAATCGAAATCGAGTCAGCATGTCATCCAACATGATGAGCTTGAGAGTTTGAATCCCGGGAGTTTCTCCGAACTGTAAACATTTACAATCATTTACACACATCCTGATTTCTGGTCAGAGATAGATGTTAATTTCATCCGATTCTTACCTTCCTCTTGCCACTGGCCATTTTATCACTTGAAGACCGGCGGTCAAAAGGGTATCCTTGAGAGTCAGGGTCATGTGGGAATCCTGTTTACGTCATTCATTCAAATATAGGCACAGGTGGTTTTAATGAAGCCTGTCTAAAGTATCTTGGAGCGATGTGGCTGCAGATGGACAATACCTCCTGTAGTCCTGGTCTTTGGAGCCACGCGCATTGCTCATGCAAACATACCACTTATGTGAGCATGGCCAGCATGGCTATTGACCAAAGTTGGAACCTACTTTTAGGCCTTGGCTTTGGAGTCGCCCAAGCGAATGCAGACGTCGCCCAAGCGAATGCAGACGGCCAACACGCCAGCCAGTCGATTTAATAGGACCAGAGAGGCGCCGAAGCCGTTGGTCACCGTTGGTCGATGATTTATTTAGGAGAACTTGAGGTCTGGAAACCATGAAATCTGTTTGAAAACTGAGTGTTTGTTCCGGGAATGTTGTGAATATGCTATCCCCAAATTTAAGTTGGTGTTTTCCTGCAAATTTTCTCCCAAAAATGAAGTTCTGGGACCTTTGGGTTTTCCAGTAAGGTTTTTTGACAGGGAAACTGTAGGCAATGACATCGAAAAACTAGCCAATCAACAGCCTTCTGTTTTTTTGTTGGGATTTGAGCCTGGGAAGCGAATCAATGGAGCCTGGGAGGGAGGTGCCAAAATGATCTCCTTGGTTTGCTGACAAGACATTCGAGGAGCATATTCTGCACTGGTAGGCTTTAAATCAGTTCCAGAACTCCTGGGATGAGCCAAAGGTTCCTGAAAGGTGCAGGAAATCCAAATCAGAACCGAATTGGGACCATCTTACCATCTTCCTTTCAATTTCTGTGGGTCTCAAACTTTCATCCAAAATCCCATTGGCCAAGCTTCATTTTCCTCATCATTTCCTGCCACATGAAATGGGACAGGTGGTTCCTGAGGAGGAGCCGCAACTTGGCTGGTCATAGGTGGCCACCGGTCAACGTTGTTGGACATTGTGGGGAGGACATCATCTATAGCATCCTGGAAATGCTCACATGTGTATTTTTTGAGGCTTACTATACCCCTAGATCCATTAGTTAATCAGCATTTTATCGTACTTTTCTGGCCATTTGGGGGTATACAGCCCATTTTCAGGCACACCCACGAGCATTAAAGCCATCAGCCACGAGCATTTTTGAAGCCATCAAGCAGTTTGAAGAATGATTTGAGTCATTTGAGATGTTTTGACATGTGCAGTATGATCTACAACTATCTAAAACCATCCATCATCCATAGAGTCATTTATAAACTGTACAATCATCCGTGACAATCTATTTTGCATGAAAGTTAAAATCAACAACACTTGTGACACAATGTTTCGATATGATTTGAAGATATTTGGTGGACATCGATGCTTTGGATTCCGAGGAACCCCTTCAAAGTTGGCATCTTGGCTGCCATGGGCCACCTGGATCATGGACAAACTACAGATATTCAAAGCAAACCAAGCAAAAAGGTCCAAAAGATGATTTGTTGGGCATCGCTATGTTTTCGTTGCTTCTCACATCTTCTCACACCTTGTCTTCTCTTTGTATTGATGCATTTCTCCCCTTGAACATATTGCAATTAGACGCAAGTAGTGAAACAGGGAACAGTCCCAGATAGTCTCATGAGAGGCCGCTTCCCCCGCAAGGTGTTCCATTTCGATGTGCCGTGATGTGTCCAACAGTGATCATGCTGGTTGCTTTCATTCTAGCTACTTGGATCTTGCATCACGGTGGAGTCGGGGTTTGATCGCCTGGATGTGGGAATAGTATCCATCAGACCTTTCTCTTTGTGAATCCATGAGGATACCATCTGGAAGGGACTTCAAGGCTAGTTGTGGGATGTGGGCATCCATGAGGTGTTTCCTACTCAACACTGGCTGCGTGACTTTCGCACTTGCCTTTCTTCCGTGGCTAAAGCGCCAATCTACAGCAACCCTACCCGACCCTCCCCGAGGATCGATAGGATGTGATTTGCTGCGACTGCCAGATGCATGACACGACATACAGACTGTCTGATATTGAGCGGATTCCACATCAGAGTCATCAGAGATCATCAGAGCATCTGTGCGGAAGACCACACCTCACAAGTGGGTGCCCTGCACAGGGACTACCCTCTGGTTATTTAACATAGCAATGGAACATCACCATTTTTAGTATGTAAACCATCTATAAATGGGCCATTTTCCATGGCTATGTTAGTTTACCCGAGGCTACTGCTACAATTTCCAGTTTCTTGTCTTTTGTCAAGTTCTGGTGGAAGTTGGGGTGTGAAAGACCTCCCAGTGAGGTCTTTGTACCACTGGCCTTGTTTTCACTAGATACCCAGCGTGCCGGGAGCCACAGCTGACATCTCCGTCGACTCCAAGCCAGGTGAGTATGCTTCAAGATGGGATTGTCACAGGATGGAATGGGGTACCATTAAAACAATTAACATCTAATCACATCGAATCGTTAATCGTCACTTTTCACATGACACAAATGCACGTTGGATTGTTGGATATTGTTGGATTAGGGTTAACGCATGCTAAGCCCTCATTTTCAGACAATCCCAAATCTTCTCGCCCTGAAACCACCAGTAATTTCCTCTATATTCCCGAATTCCTTGGATACCTAACACCTGCATCTCACTTAGTAACTGATTAGTTACTGGAATTCACCCAGAAGTGGAAGATACATGAACATACAACTTAGGAGACTTACACAACCTGGGTTCTTAACCAGTTGCCCTTCAGTCAAACTACTGGTAACGTAAGCTTAGAATTTCCGTGAACATTCACCACTTGAATCATTATTTTTCTATGGTTTTCCCATGTTTTCCCTGGAATCCCATGGATTTCCATATGTCCTCCCTTGCGCCGCCAAGCGCCGTTGCCAAGCGTTGCGCCGATCTTCGATCCACTCCCAGGCGACTTTTCGGAACTACGCACACTCGGTGGCCACACAGAAGGAGCTCATCAGCAGCATAGCGCCTTGGCGAAAATAGTTCGGAACTAACACACATATTGGATCATATGGCATGGCCATTTCAGGATCCTAAATTGGAGGTACCTACCATATATAAGGCCTATTTTTTAGGCCTATGTAAGGGAATATCCCCAGAAAATATGGCCTTATATGGTACAATACCTCCATTTTAGGATCCTGAAATTCCCATTGATATGGGGGTTTCCATAAATGGGCATAGCCCAATAGAAGATCCATTTATTTTCTGAATGATAACTGGGGGTTAGCCCTATTTTAGGAATCCTCCATATGTTGATGTTGATGGTCTATAGCCAGCAAAATGGTAAAACTGAAGGTTTACTATTGCTTTACCAACATTACTGGTAGAGTGAATGGTTAGTATTGTTTAGTCATTATGAGCATTAGATTTGCAACAAGCGAATCATTTCACGAATGAGAAGAATTATGTTGAAAGATGTGTTAATAATATTACGGCCAGGACAGGGATGCTGCGCGGGGAAGTGCGTTTTGACTGTGCAGGGCAAGTGTTTTGTGCATTTTGGGATGTCGGCGGTAATGGCCGAATGGCTGACGAGATTTGTTTCCAAAACAAGAGACTCTAAACCCCAATTCCTAAACCCTAAAACCTAAATATGACATGAACCCCCAAGTAAGCCCTGAAAGTAAAATCTCATCAAAACCGTTGAAAAAAACCTAAACACCCTAAATGAAACCCAAACCCTGAACAACCCCAAACAAACCCTAAAGAGTTGGTGACATGATAAACCTCTGGGCGGCACCCCCATGCAGTTGACGTTTTCTTCTTAATCACTATGGAAGCAGGAGAATTTGTTTTTTTTTTTACATCTTTTTGGTGGACTATGTATGTATATGATGTATGAAATATGACATATATGACATATGATAGATGATATATGTATATGTATACGTGTAGGAATAGGTAAGTACAGGCATGGGCATGGATAGGTGTAGGTCTCGGTAATCGTATGTCTATATCCACATACAATCCGGTTTTGAATGGGGATTATGTCAATCCATGATTTTGCAGGTGTGTTAATCAATCATAGTAATGGAAGGACGTCTTTCCTCATGGCTCAGATAAACTGAACTACTGAATTTTGCCAAGCTCGGAAGGTACTCCCAACTGCCTCAGCTTCATTTTACAAGTTTGTTGGCTGTGATCCTATACATCTACTGAACTGGGTTTCAGGCTGGTTACATCACTATATATATAATTATATGTATTTTTATATATAATTGAATTATATATATATATAGAATTATATATATATGCAATTATATATATAATCATACATATAGTTATATGTATAATTGTATATAATTGTATATATATATATATTATGTATATATATGTATATATATGTATACATATATATATATATGAAATGAATAGAAATTAAGGTCAAATATGTGGTCCCACCCATCAGCCGTGTGCTGGGTGCCATGGCCACAGCAGCGAGGTTTTAAACGCCACGCAGTGGGTACTGCTGGAAGCTTCTAAGTCGGTCGAACAGGCCGTCTTCGTTGGAATCGTGGAGCCGCCCGTCCGGGACCCAGAACTGGAGAGTGGCTCAAAAATCTTGGAGATACAGTGAGATCATCTGAGATAAGTATATATAAGTATATTATGTATTATTATGTAATAAGATATGATAATATATATATGTACACATGCACACAGTGCATACGGTATAGATATAGTGGACATAGGTATCTTTACCTATATGTGCAGGCATAATGTATGTATGTATCCATATTTGCATGTGCAAATCCATATGCATGTATCGATATAGAAAACATAATATGTGAAAGTACATGCATACATTCCATTCCATTAGGTTCCTAGGGCACGTCTTAATTGCGAAAGTGGTCTTCGACGAAAGAAGTTCTTTAATGACGAAAACACATCAATCAACTAATTGCGAAAAAACTCTTTAAATGCGAAAGAATCATATACATGCCTTCGATCACTATTTCATCGGAGATCTGCTGGAAATGCGCCAGCATCAATTCAATTCAGAAGTTGATATTTCAAAGACACAGTCAAAGCTGGGAATGAATGATGAAAGGTGATGAACAGTAAATTTCAAATTACCTTCCTTAGAGGCATTCTATAGTTATTTGTTTCGATTGTTCAATACCTTTGATTTTATTCGCATTTAAAAGTTTTTTTTCGCAATTATTTTTTTTTTCGCAAATAGACATCCGGTTTCTTTCGCAATTAAACCGTACTCTGCAGCTGGTTCCATTAGGTTCCATTCCATTCCTTCATTCCATTCCGTTACAGTACATTGCACATTGCATCAGTATATATATATATAATTATATATACTGTATATACAGTATATACATATTCCAGGATATTCAAGGTACACAGATCTATCCATACCCGGACCTGGACCTGGACCTGGACCTGTACATGTTGGTGACCGCTCAGGATCGCGCCGTAGACACCCTGACCGGCGCCATTCGGATGTCACGCAGCCGTGATGGCTGGGATTTCACTTCAGCGACTCGGCCTGCGCGGTTGGGGGATGGGGTGCACGGTGAAATCTCCCATGAAGCACCAAAAAACCAAGAAAATTCTGGAGACATCAATGGTTTTTTTGCAAAGGGATAATCGGCACCGAGCCGTCGACTTCTCGTTTTTTTCTGAAAAGGCATCATGGGTTGGGAAGAATTCAAGGCTCTTGTGGCGTTTTTTTTTTTGCGAGTGTAGATCTAGGTGGCTTTCATTTTGATATTGAGCATTAGCACACTGATTTCTACAACATGTACCCCAAACATGAAGAGATCTGACATGACTGTGATTTCTTGGAACCACAGATTAGCCACTCAGTTTACAGATACTGCTGACACTTTGGGGAACTTTGGAATCTTAGAACATCTTAGAACTTTGGGGATGATCCGAGATATGGTTAGCCACTTTGCCCCATCAATAGATATTGATAAGTCATGAAAGATCAATGGATATCAGAAAAACATCAATGATCCATCATATCAGATAGATAGCCTCTGGATGCCTCCGGTAATTGAACATATTTTTCACATAGCTATTGAACATAAGGCCATTGACTTCGTTGATTATCGTTGATTTACCCTCTGGTTATTTAACATAGACATGGAAAATGGCCCATAGAAATAGATGAATTTCCCAGCTAGAAACCTCGATTTTTAGTGGATTTTCCATGGCTATGTTAGTCATAACCAGATGGTAATATATTAAAATATAATATCACATGATTACCAGATGGTAATATAATATGTTAAATTACCAGATGGTACCCGTTCAAAAAACCCATGGATTTTCCCATCGCCTTTCAGGCACTCCAACGGCGAGGCCTTGCGCATCGCGCCTGGGAGGACCTGGGCCGGACCGCCGCGGAGGGCCAGGCGTTGAAGCTGCGAGCTCTCCACGGCGATAAACAATGGGAAAACATATGGCTATGGATCAATACCTATGAAAATACCATTTTTAGGGGGATGAACATCCATTTTAACCCAGCTATTTTGATGTGAACTACAGGGGTACTATTGGTTTTGACACACTGCCATATGGAAAACATATACATACAATAATAATTAATAACCATTAAGTATAAAGAATTTGATGTAAAATCTCTGAACATGGGTAAAAGGTTGATAGAAATTAGGTTCAGCAGTGGTAAATCGAGTACAGCAGTTGATGCGAAAATGATAGAATTTGTCCTGATATGTCTGATATTATGTGATAGCCACCTGGAAAGAAGATGAAAGAAGGTTTTCGATGGATGTCCCAAAAATCGCGCAGATTTCCGTCGACCTGACCTATTCGAGGAGCTGAATAATCAGTGGACTTGCACGCAACTGCCCGGGCCCCAGTTGCATCATGGAACTTCGTTGATCTGCGAAAAGAAGAAATCAGGAATGGAATGAATTGAACTTTGTCTGATCATCTGGAACTGTGTTGAACGATCGTACTGGATCATTCAATTTGCGAAGAAACCATTTAGTTTCTTCGATATGATTAATTGCTTGTTTAATGAGCATGAAGAACATCGTAGAAGTCCCGATTTCTTGTTCCGGCCTCAGCCAAGTCAGTATAGCTCTCTCAGCTGGAAGAGCTGCCCGAGGAATAACAATCTTTGCTCCGGACGCGCACTAAGTTTGTATGCCGCCCTGGACCGGATGAGTTGTGTCGAAGTCTTCGCTGAGTGGCCGGGAGTTGGAATAGTTGAAATCCAACACGTTGCAGAGCTGTAGGCAGATCCAAGACTGAAGCCAAACATCATATCAAGTTGGTCATATGTTCACATACATATACACATATGTAATAAAATATAATATAACATAATATAACATAACATGATATAATATCATATAATATATGATATGATGATATATAATATAATATGATATGATATATTTAATCTAATATCACATAATACAACATGATATTATATTATATAATATCACATAACATAACATGATATTATATTATATTATATTATATTATATCACATAAGATAACATGATATTATATTATATTATATAACATCACATAATATAACATAATATAACATGATATTTCATTACATTATCTTATATTATATAATCCATGTCCAACTGTATCCCTAAATCCTACTATCTCCTGGGCACAGAGACCTGGGAGGACGAAGAGGAGATCATGGGCGCAGCCTTTCGGCCCAGTTATTGGGCCCAGACGCTGGCGAAGGAGTCGAGCCGATCCTCGCCGATCTGGTCGAGCCATTGAGCCGAGTCATAGCTTGGTTGATTGGTACGGATAACCATTAAATATTTATAATGGTTATATAACCAGTTATATATTAATCATGGGTTATATAATGGTTATATAACCATAGTCATTACCAATTATAAAACCCATTACTGATTTGCTAGGGAAACTATGTTCAAATTCGTTTATATAATTGGTAATGACAAATCATAGGGAAATTGATGTTTATTATATAATATAACCCATAATGGGACTTTTACTAGCTAATTTTCTGGGGATAATGATAACCATTGAGAACCCATAGTAGGGGAATTCATTCTTAATGGGTCATTTGGGTCCAACAAAAAGAAGGAGATGATGGGAAAGTGAATTTGCATCAAAGTAGAAGAGTCCCTAACTGCCCTAACCTTTTGTTGGGTGCTTTTGTTGGGACCGCCGTGGCAGGAAGCTCCCTTCTTGCTGGATGCTCCGGCGTCCAAAGGTAGGAGCACCAACCTTTCAGTGTACGAGGCCTGAAACATGTTGAAACCGTCAACAATTGCAGTGGTTACTGCTCTGTTTAGATTGTATAACGTGGCAAACCCAATGCCATAAACCATTCCTAAGGTCACCATTTCTATGAGTGGGATTCCAACCATCCCCAGTCATGGTAGGCATATGGCTTTGAGCTTCCAAAGTGCACCAGGCTCACCCGCAACACGGTGCGCGCGGCGAATTCTTCGTTTCGAGGTGCAGGGACATTTTCCGCAAAGGACTTTGAGTATCATTGAGTGTCATTGAGTCACTGTAGTCATAGTTTTGTAAGGCTTCATGTAGCAAAACATACAGCCATACAGTAAACCTGCGATGACTGGGGATGGTTTTTCCATGTTTTTCCATACCACCCATTGTATGCGTTATATGGTGATTGAGGGGATGGTTTAGGGCATTGGGTTTACCACCAAAACATGCCAGATCCGAAGGAACATGCGAAAAGGATACCCACAGCATCGAGGCTACTCCAGCCCACCTTTGACACCATGTCGCATGGCCATGATGGGAAGAATATCAACATATCTATTTTCTCATCATGTTAAGGTAGTACTCCCTTCCCCCTAATACTAAACGCCACCCCCAAATAATAAACACCTCAGGTAGTTTTTAGTATTAGGTGGCTATTATTAGGGAACCCTATTAATAAAATTAAACCCTCAATAATAAAAACTAGTTTTTCCGATTTCAAAATCAATTAAATTTCCTTATATAACGCAATTAAAATATTGCCAAAAATTGGATTTCGAAGCGGACCCTATTAATAGAATTAAACCCTTAATAAAAACTAGTTTTTCCGATCTCAAAATCAATTAATTTTCCTTATATAACGCAATTAAAATATTGCCAAAAATTGGATTTCGAAGCGGACCCTATTAATAGAATTAAACCCTTAATAATAAAAACTAGTTTTTCCGATTTCAAAATCAATTGAATTTCCTTATATAACGCAATTAACATATTGCCAAAAATTGGATTTCGACGCGAACCCTATTAATAAAATTAAACCCTTAATAATAAAAACTAGTTTTTCCGATCTCAAAATCAATTAAATTTCCTTATATAACACAATTAAAATATTGCCAAAAATTGGACTTCGAAGCGGACCCTATTAATAAAATTAAACCCTCAATAATAAAAACTAGTTTTTCCGATTTCAAAATCAATTAGATTTCCTTATATAACGCAATTAAAATATTGCCAAACATTGGATTTCGAAGCGGATCAATTAAAAGTCAAATTGGCCAATCTGAAATTTTCCGAAATTAGAGATGGACCCTAGTTTTTAGTATTTGGGGGACGTTTAGTAATAGGGGGAAGGGATTATATCAGTATATAATCCCAGAATCTTACAGATCGTTGTATTTTGTGTGTTGGTGGGGGGTCTCACTCAGTGGTGAAAGCGCCTGGCCAGGCCAATTAGGCCAACGCAGATGCCTTTCTATCTCACACAGGCGCCAACATCGGGGTGCATTTCGTGTGCTGCTTGGTATTGGTATAGGTGAACGGTCTGTTTGAACGTATCCTTTTGGCAATAGAATCATGTTTTGGCATAGAACTTTGGAAGTCGGCATTCGTTTTCTCTATGGATTTCCGCACCGCGCACAGCTCAGCTATCGAATTGAGTAGATCACACTTCAGGCACGAAAGTATGGACTTGAGGTTCCTCTGAATCAAGGTGAACGAGTGCCTCCAAATTGATATGCACAGCGTCACATTCATATAATATAGTACACACATGATCATATATGGTCATATATGTACATATTGGATCACATATTGTCATATTGTGAACTGTAAATAGTCCAGAATCACAAGAGAGTGTGCCGCTGCCATCCATTTTCCACAGCAGTGGCACTTGCCAGGTGAAACTGGCCCAAAAGGCGATGTTGGCAAGTGCCACTGGTAGCCGGGCCTCCCAAGGGCCTGTGTTTTGAACATTTCGTGCTTACAACAAGTAGAGGGAAGACCAGACCTTTCAACTCTCCAATTCCATTTCTCTTTTTTACATTTTTTTGAGATGGTTCAATTAAAGAAGTACCTCTGTAGAGATTGTACCATCTGATGTCGGCAATTGGTTTAATCCATTTTAGATGGTTTTCGATGAAAGAATGCTCCATCTATTGGCTTTAGATGGTTTTAGTAGCATTTTAAAAAAATGAATCATATTTTGTTTCCATGCAGCATTCTACCATCTGATTTTGGCGCGTGCCCCGTGTCGCCGAGATGTCGCTGAGATGCGTGCAGAGGTCGGAAACCCTGGGTAGGGAGGGAGTTGGGGGGCCAGTAAATCATAATAATTTATGATAATTCATGATACATCATGATACATCATTGTTCATGATGATGATGATGATGATGAGGATGATGATTATTATGATTATGATTATGATTGCGATGATTATATATATATGTATATGATGATGATTCATGAATCATAATAATATACTGATATACATACTGTCAATCCTTCGATAAATGAATTATATAAATACAAGGAACTTCAGTGAAACCTGGACAGGCGAAGTTGAAAAAGATGTGGTCGCCCGTGTACATCTTTCACCCCTGGTGGGAAGGCGTACGGACCTCAGCTATCGGGTGGTATCATGGTTTCTTGTGGGAAAAAGTGAAAAAAGGCAGACAAGTTCAAGGTAACAAGATTCATGTGGGTAAAACAATGCCATAACCCATCCCCCAGTTATCACCATTTTTATAGGTCGTATATATGCACCATTCCCAGTCATGGGTGGTTTATGGCATTGTTTTACCATGTTTTACCCACATTAGTTCTTGTATCCACTTCATCCTTCATGAACTTGCGATCACTTGCGATGCGCTTAGGAGAACGCCTCCAGTGGTGGACAACTAGCGCTCTCCTGGAGCGGGGACGGAGGGAACCCCTTGCCAGGTCCCAGGCTATAAAGTGTGATAGCTCACTTGTCATGTAGTTTAATTGTATAAATGACATGTCTGTGTTTGCATAATTATGTATGTATATATATATATATAGTATATAATTATAGATAGTATATATATATATATATATTTACATACATTATATGTGCAAGTTCCTGGCCAGTCACGTTCTGAGACAAGATAAAACAATGCCTTTTGTTCCCGGGAGGTTAGACCTGGGGTCCCCAGGGGTTCAGACTTCGATGTCGAGGACGACTCCACTGGCCATGTGTGGCAACTATTCTTGTGTGGATGGTGTTGTGGTTGGGGCCTCGGACAGTGAGCTTTGGGCAGCTTTGGGCACGGTTTGGAAAACAACACAGAATATAATATATATATATAGATAATATACATAGTATATACATACATAATATATATATACATATTTATAATATATGATTAATAATATATACATAGTATATATATATACATATTTATACTGCAAAGCTTATGACGTCTTCCAAAGTTGCGCTCGTTGTTTGGGGATACGACCGCAGGCTGCGGATACGACTTTGGACCTGGTGAGTTACGAACTCGCCTTGGCTCGGCACCGAGGGCCGACAGGCCATATATCGACCGTTTTTTTAACGATGGAGAAATATGGATCCAGGTGGATCCTATAAAAACCATCGTTGTCTAATAAACCTATACCATAGATATTAACCTATATTTTAGGTGGATATATTATTGACCTATATTAACCATAATTATAGATATCTAGGTATTAGCCATAGATATTAACCTATACCATAATTGTCTATGGTTAATTGTCTATGGTTATACTATAGTGGATCCAATTTTTCATAACTATAGATATATGGTTACTATAAATTTATTGTTTATAATTAGTATAGTCTATTACTTAATACTATACTATAATTGTATGGTTACTATAATTGTCTATGGTTTATAGGATCCACCAAGACAAGCATTATTTATATACTATAGAAAATTGGTGGATCTAATATGATCTAATATGACATATATAACCATAATCATATATATGACATATATAACTATACCTATACTATAATATGACTTATATAACCATAGACAATTATAGTATAGGATCCACTATAGTTATAACTCTAGTTATGAAAAAACTAAATTATAGTTAACTCTACCCTACTACGTATTATAACTATAGTTATATATGGTATAACCATAGACAATATAACTATAACCATATCTGGGGAATTCTGGGGATATAACTTGTTTAAGTTGTCTTCAGGTTTTGTTTTGTAGTAATGTAGAACACCACTTCACAAGCTACCCCCCCAGGTTTGCCAGACATGGGTGGTAGGTTAATAGCCACCCCCAACTGGAGATTTACGGCTTGTGGTATTGGTAGTTTGTCACATCATATCTGATGATCCGGCTGGTGACCCCTTAAAATCCATTGCATTCACCATCTTCCCGACTAAAACCGGCAAAAACATCGGGATATATCCTATTTTCAGACACCCAAATAGTTACAGTATCATGTTACAATTGGTGATTATAATTGGTGATACTATCCCATTCTATCCCCATGAAATCCGGTTAAATCATGTTAACATCACTGCTGTTTGCAACTGAGGCATGGTATCGGCTGCAGAGCAACCTGCTGGGAGCCCCCTGGAGTTTCGAGCTATCAGAACAAAGCCCGGGCTCCGATGCTGTTCTGGGGGAGGATTGCTGAGTTCAGCCACTTCACATCATGAAACATTGGAAATTCAAATTCTGGTGCGTTTTCCTCACGCAGGGAATGTTCGGGAATGATCCCAGTCATCACTAGATATCACTAGTAGTACTGTAATAATCATTAGGGATCATAATCCCAATCCCATTCCATCCGATTCCCATCCATTCCCTACGTACTACGCACCAAGAATTGGGATCATCTTTTCCCAAAATGGGGACGTCATGAATGTTTGTCCGAGAAAAGTGGCCATGAATTGCTGGGCCACATGGGCCACAAGTGCTATTTATTTTGGATTTCCTCCTGAGTGTATATATATATATATACACATATATAGTTAATATATGTTAATATTATATATATACACATTATGTGTGTAAAGTAAAACCTGCGAAATGCACACTACGAATGAGTTCTTCAGAATGTCCAGTTGAAGCAATTTTTCGGGGCTTGACTCATTCGGATCTATCTTTTTCCATGTCCAGCGACGGCCAGACTCGAGCATCTTTATTGTGAAACAGATGGCGCCAATGTTTCCAGAGCAGGAGGGTTTGCTGGTCCGTCCTGGCATGTTTGCTGGTAGTGCTGGCAATGCCAAGCAAATCTTGCTGGCTCGAGTCCTTGCAGCTCGCCGGAAGCTATGAGACAGGATTCTGTGGATTCTGTTGAAGTTCAAAAATTGTCCAATGAGATTTAGATTGAATCAACAGTCAAATGCCTTTACCATGTTTGTTTGATAGAATCCAATTAGAATGATTGCCCAATTAGATTTAGTCTGAATTGCTTGGATACTGTAATACCTTGTGATACCCTGTGAATATTGGGTAATTTAAGCGTGGGCAACCCAATTTTATAAACCTACCATTTGGAGATGATACCACCAATTTTTATGGGGGCATGGTTAATTACTGGGTTTACCAGATTAATATTTCTCCAATATTCCAACCACTCCACTGCCAGATCGGATCCCAGATCGGATCGCCCAAAAATCTGCCAGATCGGTGCTTCAGACTTCCACTCGGCTCTGGTGGAAGGGAAGTTGATTGATGTCCGAGGACCCAGGCAAGTAGCTGTGGGATGCTGTCTTAAAATTGGAAATTAGATGGATTTACCATATATGTACATGATATACATGTATATATATATATATTAATGCATATAATATCATATAACTGTAAAAAATATAGTAATATACATATATATATATGTATGTCATGATATCCCCATGATAATCACCAATTGATTGCTATTCTGATGATGGAAAAGGATCAGCAACTGAGTCAGGACAGGAGATATCATTCAAGGGCTTGTCACTACGATTTCATCAATAAAACCATCCCATTGGGGCCTAAACCATGACTGCTTTCCCCAGAAGTTGCCAGTCTTGGATGATTCATAATCGAAGTGACATAGACCCTGAGAATCGGACACTGACATAGTCTTCAGAGCCCCAAGTCATGGTAGGGTCTATGTCACTTCAGGGGATGGTCATCGGAATTTTGGATGGTAACATAAGGTACCCCGGAATCCAGCGGTGAATGAATATGTTTCCATGAGATGACCATTCTTTTGGCTATACCGGTATACAGTATACTATACCCCATTTTCAGAGAAACGCAGATGATACATCAAGTTGGTGTAAGTTGATGAAACAGAGAAACGCAGATGATACATCAAGTTGGTGTAAGTTGATGAAACAGAGAAACGCAGATGATACATCAAGTTGGTGTAAGTTGATGAAACAGAGAAACGCAGATGATACATCAAGTTGGTATAAGTTGATGAAACAGAGAAACGCAGATGATACATCAAGTTGGTATAAGTTGATGAAATAGAGAAACGCAGATGATACATCAAGTTGGTAAAAGTTGATGAAACAGAGAAACGCAGATGATACATCAAGTTGGTATAAGTTGATGAAACAGAGAAACGCAGATGATACATCAAGTTGGTATAAGTTGATGAAACAGAGAAACGCAGATGATACATCAAGTTGGTATAAGTTGATGAAACAGAGAAACGCAGATGATACATCAAGTTGGTATAAGTTGATGAAACAGAGAAACGCAGATGATACATCAAGTTGGTATAAGTTGATGAAACAGAGAAACGCAGATGATACATCAAGTTGGTATAAGTTGATGAAACAGAGAAACGCAGATGATACATCAAGTTGGTATAAGTTGATGAAACAGAGAAACGCAGATGATACATCAAGTTGGTATAAGTTGATGAAACAGAGAAACGCAGATGATACATCAAGTTGGTATAAGTTGATGAAACAGAGAAACGCAGATGATACATCAAGTTGGTGTAAGTTGATGAAACAGAGAAACGCAGATGATACATCAAGTTGGTGTAAGTTGATGAAACAGAGAAACGCAGATGATACATCAAGTTGGTATAAGTTGATGAAACAGAGAAACGCAGATGATACATCAAGTTGGTATAAGTTGATGAAACAGAGAAACGCAGATGATACATCAAGTTGGTATAAGTTGATGAAACAGAGAAACGCAGATGATACATCAAGTTGGTATAAGTTGATGAAAGAGAGAAACGCAGATGATACATCAAGTTGGTATAAGTTGATGAAACAGAGAAACGCAGATGATACATCAAGTTGGTATAAGTTGATGAAACAGAGAAACGCAGATGATACATCAAGTTGGTATAAGTTGATGAAACAGAGAAACGCAGATGATACATCAAGTTGGTATAAGTTGATGAAATATATCACATTATATCCACTTATCCATCATTTTCCCAGGACACATCCCCATTGTTGATGGTCATCCCGTCATATCCCCTCAAAATGGTTGTTTATATCCTGTAAAATACCGCCATTCTTGTTGCTGGTTGAATATCATATAACAACCCTATGGCATAAATAAATATATACGTATATATATATATATATGTATACACATATATCAAGTTGTATCAAGTTGGTTAAGTATATAAATACAAATAAATAAATACACACATATGTATATATATATATGATATGTAAATATGTATACAGCTATGTGTAGATATCCCATGATATCCCCATCAATTGCTGGCCTAGGCCTCGGACTCGCCCAGCAAGATCGTGGCGGCCACCGCCAAGGCGAACCTAAGATTTTGGATGGATTGATTTATGAATAGTATGAATAGTCAATCTATACGAATCTATACCCTCTGGTAAACGAACGTAACTATGGAAAGATCCACCATTTTTCATGGGAAAATCCACTATGAATATCTATAAATCACCATTTTCAATAGCTTTTTGTATGTTTACCAGAGGGTAGATGATTAACATGGACTTATTACGACTTATTTGTATAATATGATTAATAATTTTAATATGATTATCTATAGATGTTTAGTTATCTATAGACTTACTTATGATAATTTTCATGGTTTATCTATAGATGTAACATTTGTGTAGACATATTATAGATGCTTATATAGATGGTCCCTTCTTAGATAATATAGATTTATTTGTATAATATTGTATAATATGATTCTCTATAAATGTTTCTTATCTATGTTTAGATTATCTGTAGATGATTATCTATGATTTATTTATTACCCATAGGAAAATTGTGATTTAAGCAGCAAATATGGTGACTTAACCAGGGAAAATGGAAATTTAAGATAGTCATTGCATAAGGGATATGATAATGATTACCAACATGTATTATAATCAGTCATATTTCTAACATATACTGTAGAATGTTGAATGATAACATTCATTGGTATTATATAATCTCATGATATTCTTATAAGGAAATTTACTTCCAAAGAGGGACTTGTTCATTACTAAATTATATTATTTTGAATTATAAGTTAATAATATTGATCATTTATGGAATATTACTATTTGAAGGACATTTAGCTAGAAAACGTCCGACTAACGCACAATGCTCATGGTTAGCATTCCCACCATCATGTCAACCACATCATCACGTCAAAACCATCCTCAAGCAGCTAGGAAATGTAAGAGTTTGGAAGCGTGTGAATTCACGGGTGAAAACACTCTCGGGCCGCCGAAGTAGGGTGTTTGTTTCCGCGGTTACGGGCCTTGATTGGGGAAAATTGTGGACAAAAAGTGCATAGGACTGTGGAGAGAGAGAGACAGAGATCGGTTTGCACTTCAAAACGTAAAAAGAATGGGGCTCCCACACAGGTAAACCTCCGATGACTTGTGTAGCGGGAAACGCACAAAACATCAGAAAACCTTGTGAGAATTTGTCCATGGTGCGCTATGAATCTGGTGGGTTGCTGGTGCATCTAGGTTGGAGAAAATATCGGCAGCCCAAAAAACGAACTCCAAACTGAAGCCATCCCCCTTTCTCGCAATGGCACAGGTCGATCACCACCTCAGCAGTCTTCCATCAACTTCTGTATCCACTGCATCCAATGGGATTCAAAAGTAATGACACCATTTTGGGATGTCTACTCGACTAAAAGATGGCCAAAATTTGTGGATCCAGTGCAAAATTAATTATTTTCTTTCAAAACATCGTTTTGTTACACATTTCCATATCCCAAAATGCCGAAATCAACCAGTAATCGTCAACTCATATTTTTTATCCAGTGCCCTACAGAAAAACCCCTTTGAGGCGGTGCTCCAACGCTTTGGAGCCTGGAATGCCAGAGAGCTGACGAGGAACATCTGGTGCTGGAGATTGTAATAATTGCCCTCTAGTTTCGGTTATTTTTTTTGGCTAAGTGACTATGGATTATTGATGATTATTGGATATGGTGCTATCTCATAGCAAGGTTAGTTTTGGTTGGATGGAGATGGCAGTATTATTGAATCATTTCGATTAATTGGATTTCATCTCTCTTGGAGGTTTAAAGGATTGGGTTCTACCTGCCATATATTTTATGGCTGAATTAAGGTTACTCAAGTCGAATCCAGACACTTGGCTTGAGTGATTTTTCCTGGGATCCCCATGACAGTTTTTTTGCATAGAAACAGGGATCATCAAGGTCCGAGAGGGATCTCACCCTTTGTACTTGGGAAATACGCCGCTGCCGGCGTATTTCCCACATGTTTCATTTTGATTATCCAGTGAACCTCCTCTTTGCCCCCGGCAATGCTCAACCCTTGCGGCCAGGAGAGGGAAAGACCAGTCCTTTCACTTTTCCTTGAGAGATGCGCAAGAGGCACTACTGAATCTACTGAGATTCACGAGCAGCATTCCACCTGATGTTGCGACAGGAATGACAGGGGATCTTGCGTTGAATTAGTTTCTGCTACCATATGGGTATGGATCAATACCTATTAATACCATTTTTAGGGGGATGAACATCCATAAATCCCAGCTATTTTGATGTGAACTACAGGCGTGCTATTGGTTTTGACACACTGCCATATCAGATACGCACACACACACGATTGACACGGCACCTTTTCTCAGATTCCGGCCAGGGAAGATGGAAGGAATGTCATCCACTGGTTGACACCCAGGGAACTCCGGAAGACAAGGATTGGGAAGAGAACTGTTTCCAGGCCCGGGACCTGACCATTACATCCTCAGGATGTATGTGTAAGGGAGATCAGAATATGCCATGATTTTTCTTGTGGAACATATGTGATTAACCGTGAAAAAAACATGATTAACCATGATGAACCATGAGATTTGGGCTAGCCTGGGCCTCATATGGGCCACCGGGGCCATATCTGCGGTCAGGCCACAACCCATACGATCTTCTTGGATGATTCTTTGCAGTGGACGCCAGTCTGCAGATTTCGCTGTCATGTTTTTGGATGTTTTACCCTCTGGTAAACATACAAAAAACTATGGAAAGATCCACCATTTTATAGCTGGGAAAATCCACTATGTATTTCTATGGCCATTTTCAATAGCTATGTAACAAATTACCAGAGGGTATGAGTTTTTTTTTTTCTGTCGGAGATCCTGGAAAAGGATTGGAAAAGGAATATATCATTGGATATAATATGATATAACATTGTATGATTGTATAACAGTAACATTGTGGAATAGAGCCACAACACATTGATGAATTTCGTGGTTTCACATGGCAAAGTTTGGGAAACGCGAGGAGATTCAGAACTGATTTCGTAATTACGTGATGCATCTCTGAGGCTTGTAGTGGCTTCTTTACCGGCTGCAGTTGGACACCCAAAGATGAAGCGGACGAATGCAGACAACGTGTTTTTCGCTGCCAGTAGCAGATGAATGTTGGTTGGTGGTTGATTTCATTTTTTTTCAGGAAGACAGTCGGAGTTGAACAAGATGTTCGAGACCGGTTGATGTCATTGGTCGGATAAGTATGGTGGATTCTTGGGAGGCTTGTCGTTAGTGCGGACTATCCCAACCTTTTGAGGCCTTCAGCAAATTTTACGTTGATGAGGCCGGAGTCCTCTCCGCAGAGTTTGACTTGAGTTTAGAGCCCCATGTCATCCCATTTCTTACTGTTTCTTATAAGAGTTTCAGGCCGCCTTGGTGAGTCTACAAGTCTGACAGTCTGGCATCTGCCATAAACATCAAAATCTTGATACCAGGCTCCCCTCAAACGTGATCATTTGCCCCAGCCCAGTTGGGATGGGGCTTGCGCCGCATTGGTGTCACACCTGGGAGGCTATGGCGGTGGAAATGCAGGTGGAATCCCCAGAAGCCGCGCGGAAAAAAACCGCGCCAGGTCCAAGGCTCCCAGCGAATGATAGATGTGTGGTTGCAACTCCCGGAGCGAAATCAAACTGATAGAACTGATCAAACCAACAAATTTTGACCAGCGGACTTGCACCGGAACCAGTGTCATGGCCGCCGCCCTAGGTGAAGCGTGAACAAATGGAGGCTCACCAGAAGCAGAGGCCCTTTGCTGGAGCCAGTGGGGCGAATCTTAACCACCCAACAACCATGGAAAAACCCTGAAATTTTCATGGAGGTTGATGTCGCTGGAAAAATCATCTATTTCTATGGGCCAGGCGGCTTTCATGGCTTTCATGGCTATGTTAGTCATAACCAGAGGGTACTGAAATTATCAACATGATATGAGATGATTAACCACCAGTAACGGGTCACCTCTGAGGTTGATTTTTCAATGAGTCTTGTGACGGCTCATCCCCTTGAGGAAATGATGCTGAACGAAAGAGAGGAAGAACCCCTATCTATTGGTGATCCGTAGATTCTATGGGGTGTTCACCAACAAATTGGTGAAAAAACAAGCTATTAGAGGAAGAACCCCAGTGGAACCCCATCTATTTTTGTTTTTTCAAAGACATTGTTCTCTCTTAATTACTCAATGTCCATGTCTGTCCACCAGCAAAAAAAAAACAGCATGTGCCCGCAATCTTTGTCCCGAGTGGTTTAGCTAGCCAGGGACACTCTCATCGAATGTGGTTTCCTGGGCATTCTGGCTGCTGCACGGCGCCCAGATGAACATATTTTTATCTGGGTCCATCATTTTATGAGAAAACCAGACTGTTAAGAGCATGCTGCAATGCTTTGCAAGCGCGTGCAACATGGTGAACCATGATAAAATTTGATAACACATGAGTAAAAAAACATATAAACGCGATAACAACCTATGACACATACTGAATACAACCAACCTCAAAGAAGCGGCCGGGAAGCCCAATGTTTCAAACACATTTCACGGCAAATTACCGAGAATTCTCCATTGTCCGGGCAAAATCAAGATATAAACTGTCAATTATCTTCGGGTCTGATTCAGCGGCTCTGGACGTTGCAGATTCAACCCAAGGCTATGGTGTTGGTCATGGGACTGGGTCGGGAGCCCAGGGGGATGCTTCTGGTGGTACCTGTGTTCAATCTCAGGGATATGCATGGATGATACCGTACTAGTCAAGATAGACACGCTGTAAGAAAGGATCTATGGCTAATTCAACATGGAATCTTGGTGTACAAGTATGAGTTCAATTGTTTCAATCAGGAATTTTGTGTACCAAGAGTCTTGTGAATTATTGCATCAACATGGGTGCGGTGACAAGAGGGAAATTGCAACTTCACTCCGATACTTACGGCTTAATGCGGCTTAAGGCACTCACGTTTGTTGTTTACAGTAGCTATCTTTTATTTTAAGGCGCACCCTCTGGGAAGTAGTTGCAAGATCTCCACTCTTGAATCAAGACACTGAGGAGGCAGGATGCAGACTCTCAACAAAACACATCACTTTCTTCAAAACAGTTTTTATCCTCCCCAAAAAATGTGACAGTGTGGTTCTCAATCCACTGCCGATGGTGGCAAAAATGATCCATGCCCACTGAGTTACAAGCGTCTTGGTCCTGCGGCCCTTGAGCAGATTGAGTTTGCTGATGCGCAGGCTGGACAGCAAATGGCCAGTCAGACTTTGGAATGTCCAACATTAACCACTATCAACCATTATTAACCATTATTAACCATTATTAACCACTATTAACCACTATTAACCACTATTAACCACTATTAATGTCAGTTTTGGGTGAAGTGCCAACATCCAACGACCACCCAACAAGTCCAAGTCCACCACAATCCTTGCGGATCCCAAGAGGGAACCTGGGAACGGCACGTTGGACCAGCTTCATGACTGCCGTGGGTTTCCTGGGACTGGGATTGTAACCCGAGATATGGCTATGGTTCAAACGAATAACAAAGTCCCAAAATTGGATGTTTCCATTTCTTTTTTTTCTCAAATAGGGTACCATGGGCTACCTCCTTTTTTCATCACAATTCATCCTTTTGTCATCAGTTTTCCACATAGTTAAACCATGTCTTAGTATTAAGCCTATGGTGAATCCTACAGTATGTTGAACTATGATGAAAACTATGATTCGAAGCCCCATGGGTTTATTGGGGTTATTGGTTAACTAGATCATGGTGAATCCTACTGTGGATGGTTAAGAAATCCTGCACCACCAAACGGATGGTTGAAACCCAAACTTAAAATAATGGGATGTCCCTGGATGTTTACCATCTATGAACTGGTGATTCGGATTTCGCAACCATCCACTGTATTAACTGTATTAACCACTATCAATCAACATTAATCCACATTAATCCACTATTACCATGATGATCATGATGGGGAAATCCTCCATTTTAAGAACCCATCTGCTTGCACCGTGTCAGACCGTGTCACAAGGCTCACGGAACTGGACTTCGCCCATGATTCGGTGGAGTGACCCACCTTGGCAGAGAGAGAAAAGTGGGGCAGTGGGATACGTCGTGGGTATTAGTATATCTATAATATATCTATATCATGGTATATAATATTGTATATGATTCATGATAGTAAACATAGTTTTTTTTTTTTAAAAAATACAATACTTATTAATGGTATGGTATTGGTATATAATGATAATACATGATAACAATTGTCTTAACAATAACAACAGTAATTGTCAATAATGCTAGTTGATAACAATCAGCCTTACTAATAACATATTATAACGCCAATACGTCCTCCAGTGAACATTCTCTCAGGTACCGGCAGATGCAGGACGGGCAAGCGGGACGCATCCTGGAGATTAACGAACTGTTGGGAGCCGCGGTGGTGCGGATGGAAGCCCCTGGTCCCAAAGATGTCGAAATCTCCCTATGAAACCAGGTCAAAATGGACAGTTGGAAGCCGGATGATGATGTCATGCTGTTGCTTTTAGCAATTTTAGCACAATTCCTCCAGTTTTTCCCATCCCCCTACTTAGCACTTGACCCATCATGCGTGTCACCATCTTGTTTGCTTCAAGATTCCAATATGCTCATGCACCCAATGGGCCTTAATTACTTTTTAAATCCAACTCCTACAAACCCCAACTAAGCACAGGTCATGTGAATGGTTGAGTCCTGGGTATAGATGACCCATAGAGTGTCCATCTATTTCCTAGATATTGATTAATTGTGGAATTGATTGACTATTAATAGTTGATTAATGAATTGGTTATGAATTCAACCCAGAAGGGGACGAGTTCCCACTGAGGTCGCACGGTTTTTGCCGTTTATCTCATTCCATTGAGGTGCGAAAAGGGCGGGGAGGGCAGAAACCCGACTTGGCCTAGGGAGATTTTTCGGATTTTCCATGGATATCATGGCCATGAAATGCCATGAAACTTGGGAATCCACTCGATTTTGCTCAACTGTTCAACTGGGAATTCAAGGAATGTGATGGAAGGGGATGATCTACCCATAGTCAGCCCTGTTAGTTAAGTAGTATATGGCAGTGTTTATTACCCGACTATTTTCACTGTTTAAAGTTCATGGCTTAAATTATTATGTAGTCTCCCAATATTCTTGTTAATTCACTATTCTTGTTGGTTAAATCTCAATATTTATTGCAGATCTCCCAATCGATCTCCTATTTTTTGTCAATTTTCTTGGTCAAATCCAAATTTTGGTGGTCAAAGCACCATGTTTTATGATGAAATCCCCAAAAATCTGAGCGAAAACCTGTTTCTTACTGAGATTGCAGCTATTTTTGTGGGTGACATCGGTGACATCGCTGAAATCCCCCAACCTTCCGGGAATCCCCCAGGTCTTCGCGCGCTTCGTGCCCGACTCGGTGGTGCGACGCCTCATCAGCGGGGACCCTAAAGCCTCGCGCCCGGGAAGCCCAGTGGATCTCAGATCTCGCTGTGGAGAAGCCATTTGGCAGTGTGTCAAAACCTTGTACCCCTGTAGTTCACATCAAAATAGCTGGGATTTATGGATGTTCATCCCACTAAAAATGGTATTAATAGGTATTGATCCATAGCCATTTGGGATCTGAAGATTTGGAATTCCCATAATAGACAAATATGATTTTAGATCCCACATGTTTCTATTTTATATATTTTATGGGAATTCCAAATGTTCATATATATGAGATAAAATAGAAACATTTGGAATTACCATAGTGAACATTTGTGATCTAAAATCAAATGAACATAGACATAATAGACCTTTGATGACCAAATAGCACATGAAAAAAACCAGAAAAAAGACGGGAATGGATGACTACCAACCCAGGAAAAAGATAGGACATGTAAAAATATATGAAAATTCCCCACCAAAATTGGACCTTTGATGTTGAAATTGACTGTTGATGTTGATGACATTTCTATTGCACTGGAAAACAGCAATGTAAAATTGGATAGGATATATGAACATCTAGTTCTAAAATATCTGTTGTTTCCGTCTATACCCTCTTGTACTAAACTCGACCTGAGGCCTGAATGTGCTGCGAAAGAATGTGTTTGCCTTAGATCCGGGGTTTTGGAAAACAATTTGAAATGGAGGAAGTGATGTTGAACAGTGGGATTTGGGGTCATGGGTATGGGTCAAAAAAACGGTCAAAGTAATTTATAGGTGCTTATACATCAATGCCTTGTTCATTGGGGACAGTTATGATCCAGTTAGAATGACTCAAGACTTATTTCAACCCTCAAAGTGTATCGTTTCATGCAAAATGTTACCAACTTGCAGGTCCATTGGTATGTAGATTGGAAGCAGTTGACACTGTTCAAAGCCTTTAGCAAAGCAATCCGGGAAGAAGATCCGGACTCCTTTCTCTGAAACAAGGATGATCGTCCAAAGATGTGATATTTATATGAATGGGGTATCGACTGATATTCTGCAATTGGTACCTGGCCTAAATGCCCATGTCATGCTGAGGTTTCGATCATGTTCTCCGATGTCCGGGTCGGCCCGGCACCGGTTTTTGTCAAGAGCTGTTACTGGCTGGGCGTCTGAAACTTGGGTGGTTCAAACTTAGGATCTATACAACAGCCCGAGACTCCAAACAATCATACTCAAATATAATATATAATACACATATATATATATATAATATTCAATTATATATATATATGATATACATGCACATTGTATCCGCAAATATATACAAACACAAACACCGCTTGAGCCTGGCGGCGCAGTTTTTGAGTGCCTCTGAGGTAGTTGTGTCGGAAACAATTGATGTGGTAAGGGGTGAGACCACTAAGTGCATGATCCTGCCCCCCATCCATGATCATCCACGAACATCCATGAACATCAACTGCTACTGGTAGCTGGTTTCAATCATTTTGTGCATATATATATATATCTATATTAATGTACATGTATAGATATCAATATGTACAGAGATATCAATATGATATATTGATATATTGAATTTTGTGTATATGACCCATCATATGTATATATAAATATATATATAAAGACACCACTATTACTGGAGCATCTACTTTGATGATTCCAACACCCTTCCAGTCGCTAAAAACCCTAAGGGTTTCACGCCAGGACTTCACCTCGATCTCAGAGGAGTTGAAGCAGGACGACCTCATCCTTTTGCTCACGGTGTATCTCTCGGTCATGACGCGCATCATTGAGCCCGGGCCTCGCCGGGCCTCGCCCGGGAGGTCTGAAAGATGTCTTCGAAAGAATGGGAAAGGCCATGGAGTTGACGTTTTCTGGGAGAAAATCATCCGACATGTATGTATATATATATATACCCTCTGGTTATTTAACATAGCCATGGAAAATGGCCCATTTATAGATGGTTTACCTTTAACAAATGGTGATTTTCCATGGCTATGTTAAATAACCAGATGGTATACCTATACATATAACATGCGTTTCCAAGTAATGTGAGAAACTGAGATCCCCATCACGAAATATAACGAACACTTCCAGAGTGTAGGCGGGTGGGTCTTTGAGTTGACTCAGCGTATTTTGGGTTTTGTCTGAAAATCTGGTACCAAAATCACATGGTCAATCATCAATTTTCCATAATTTTCCCTATTCGAATTGCCAGCAAGGAATAGGATTATTGATCCCAAAGTGAGGATGATTTCCAGTGAAGAAATGGTCAAGGGTGATTGATCCCAAATGGCCAGCTGGAAAGGGATTGGCAGAAATTGGGACCTTGTTCGTGGGTGGAGCTTGAAACCTCTATAATCACTATTGGTTGTTGATTCTGTAGGGTTTCTTTCAGTGAGATGCAGTGATGAAAGGTGCCTATACAATACATACAACACATACAGCTACCAATTGAAGGGAAGTCCATCCCCTCAGCCAAGGTCCTTTGAGGGCGTGGTGGGGGAGATCTTGGGCGACGGCATTTTGGCCTTTTGGAACACGCCTGACGTCTGGCGCCCAGTGAAATCTGGGGATCTTGAAATCTCAAGGTGATTCGAAAGTTCGATCGTTTCAATTTGTTTCCATCCCTGAGATGAGGACCACCATTGATCATTATATATATATATACATACATACATACATATATATATATATATATCTATACATACATTATTATGAACTTTTTGTTGGGTCTTTTTTGGGACGGCTTGAAACCACCTGCCATCGCTGTCAGCTGCTGAGGACGTGTTCAGCCACCCTGCAAAAGCGTGCGCGGCAGCGCTGTCGCAGCAGCAGGTACCCTTTTGGGCTGTCGGCTATTGGTCGATTTTCTTTTGGGTTACCCTCTGGTTATGACTAACATAGCCATGGTATAGATGGCCCATAGAAATAGATGGTTTACCTATTAAAAATGGTGATTTTCCATGGCTATGTTAGTCATAACCAGATGGTAATTTCCGATTTGTGTCATTTTTCGCCCTGAAAATGAGGGATTCCACCAATTGGAATGATCGATGAACGGATGAAACATCAACCGATGAAACATCAATTCTTGACGGTTTCCCACGCATTTTCAGGTATGAATGTCAGGTACCAATCCTATATTTGGTAACCCCTTTAGTTTTCTTGATCAAATCAAGTTAAATCATGATAAAATCCACATCTTCCTTGACTCAGTTCGGCTAAATATTCTTCAATGTATAATCAATGTTAAGTCAGATCAAAACATATGAAATCCATGAATTTTTGATTGGTGAACGTCCACCCAAGTTTTTTTTGGGGGTCACTGGTCCCACTGGGGTCACTGGTCCCGGTCTATCCTCAGGCCTTGGGGCCGCTGAACGAAGAGTTCCAGAAGCTGGGCCTGCCACCTCTGGCCATTCGCATCGGCATTCACACCGGGGTGCCTCGGTGGGGTGAGAAGAAACGTGAAGAACATCAATGAATGATGAGTGTATATGATTGTATATATATATAATATATATATATATATAATATATATATAATATATATATAATATATATAATATATATATATATATAATTTATATAATTGTATATAATTATTATATCTACACACACACTTACTGTTTACTTGTAACTACTAGTATATGTATGTGATTGTGCTATACATATAAATATATACATGGGACTGTACATTGGGTTATCCACGCAACCACGATGCCATTGGATAGTGAAGATGATTGGGGCCAAGACCAAACCTGCTTTGGATCCTGGTGGCTACCGGCAATGTGGGTTGGACACACAAGGGGTAGGATGCGATGCTATAAAGATATGCGGCAAAAGAAGATGATGCCCCCAACATTCTGCTCAAAGGAATGGATGGATAACGATGAATAAAGATGGATAGAGATTGTTTGCGTTGTGCGAAATCTGCAAAATCCAGAGGTCTAGTTCGTTTGTTCAGTACAGGGGATAGTTTCAAAAGTGTCCTGATGGCCATAGTAGGGGCTGACTTCTGTCAGCTGAACCAGGGTGAACCATGGTGAACCATGGTGAACTACCCCCTTTCCATGGCGCCATGGGGACGGGCAAGGAAGTGCTCACCGGAAACATCGGCTGTTTGTCGGGGAAGATGAAGTTCGGCTGCATGGGCGATCCGGTCAATCTGGCCCGTGGCCTCAGTATGCCTCAGTGATGTGAAATTTTCGTCACGAGCTTTGTGCGTTTCTGGATTGCGGAAAAGACCATTGTAGTGATATCTACTACACTGTACTGATGTGTACTGATATATCTTAGATTTTGTGGATTTTTCAGATATTTGAGTTCGATGGCTTTTAGTTTCACTGGATCAGTGTGTTATTTATGATTTTTTCTGGATTATATACGTAATATGATTGTAAAATAACCATGAAAAATCCATGGATTTCAGGAGGCCCATCATCCATCGACCCTGGGTTTCTATGCTCATTGTCCCATAAAATGGCCACCAAGGGCCGAGGCTTTTTTTGCTCACTTTCAGAAACACCAAGATCATCTGAATGTTGATTCTGTAATGCTATACATATATGTATACACGATATATGTATACACGATATATATATATATATGATATACGTATGCATACATATACATACATACACATACACATACACATATACATATACATATACACATATACATATACATATACATGTATATACACACATGCAACTAGATCTACATACATAATATGTGTATATATATGTACATCCCATTACATCTCATCATCGTTTCCAGTGTTTATAGATGAAACCCTGACTTTCAGACACCTGCTGAGGCGAGCCGTTTGGAGGGCCTCTGTAAGACCTATGGAGCACCTGGGCACCAGTGATGGCTCGCTCGGCGAAGTGTATTTTTGTTTTTTGCAAGAAAAATGGGAAAATTGGGGCTTGAAAATGGAACAGACACATTGGGATATATATATATATATATATGTATAATTAGTGGGAAACAAATATGTACACATATAACATATGTAATGGGATATCTAATATGTATATGTATATATATATATGTTAATGGAAACAAAAAAGGGGAAACATTGGGATTGAAGATGATTTGCAGTACCCGCAAAAAAAACATAGAAATGTAGTTTAGAAGTTTATCACCATTATTTGGTAGGATTTTACTTTTGTTTTTTTAGGGGCCTGCTATAATACATAGTGGAATTCAGTAAGAACGGGGATGTACTCCCTATAAAACGGGGAATTTTTGGCCATAGGGAATCTGACATCCGCTTGATGAATAGAGGAGGGGTTGCCCCACGCTATTTTGCACATTCATTCGGAGGTAATTACATGAGTGTATATAGTTTGTTTACACCAAAGCCTATACAATGTAAACATGTTATATATATATATGTTCCATCCAGTGTAACCAATGTCCAACTCCATTTACAAGACATTGGATGGTGGCTAGTCAGCGTTGCCACTGAGTGAGTCTTAAATCAGATGGAGATTGGTCAATTTTACTCATTGGTTGATGGCCACCATCGCCAACCATCCTCAACACCATCCTCATAAACTCACATAGATATGGAGAATCCACTGTAGATGGTTTCCGACTTTCCATGAGTGAAACTATGTGAAACTCATATTTTTTCCATGTAAACCCTGCCGGGTTTTCCCGTGTAAAACTACAGCTGGGACCCAGCATTCTGCGAGGTTGGAGTGCTTTGCTCGCAAGCCACCAGGGATCGATTGCCAGCAGTGGCTTGACCAAGAATCGTTGGTCGATAATAATTACATACACATTATTCATATGTAATATGTGCCATTGAATGCATATATACATATGATTATATACAATTATACATATATATATATTATATATATATTAATTATATATATATATTAATTATATATATATAATTATATGTATATATATAATTATATATATATATATATTGATGTGATGTGTATATGTACCTGGACTTTTGATTGTTACTTGAATTTATGCTTCCCCCTGTTTGACACATTTTTTCGGATTTGCCAAAGTTCTAAATCCGAGCAGAAAAATCAGATTCGAGCACTTTTTTGACATATGCAGGCTGGAGAATCAAACGCAGGAAATTCGAGCGTTTTTTTAGTGCAAATTCGATCGCACGTATCCACAAAACGAGAGCACATATCCACAAAAGAGCGCGAAAGACAACAACAGGGTCACTTTTAACGGGATCACAATGGTTGAGACCTTGCTTCGAGCGTTCTTTTTGAGTTTGAACTTTTTCTGGAACTTGTTACCCAAAAATTATTGTACCCACAATTTAGGTATCAATTGAAGCTCCAGGTATATCTATACATTGTGTTTTTTTGGTAACATGATTCAAGCCTCAAATCCAAATCAACTCAGATGTGAGTAATCGCAACTTCTCCAATGTATATTTTCATGAACTTACTTTCATCATCATCATCACCATCATCATCATCATCATCATCAACATCAAGTCTTGCCAATGTTTGTGTACCGAATTGTTCTTTTCATTTTGACGCTTGGCTTCCGTTTTTCCATTCCTGCCAATAATCTTCCTGTCCGTTTTTGGAGGTATCCAAATTGTGAACGACAACCTGTGGCTGTGGATCAACTTCATCTACCATTTAGGATTTTGAAGATCTTTCCAAATCACAAAGCCACCAAGATTTGCCATTTTTTTCAGGTCGCCCTTTTTTTAAACCACCGTCGCCGGTCGCAGGAAGATGGCTTTGTTTGTCGCAAGTTGGATCTGGTTCAAGTCTGGGCCCTATAAAATGACCTCAGAGTCATGCTGACAATTGGCTCGTTCCATCTCGTTCCCAAATGGCTGGTTACCCTCTGCTAATTTAACATAGCTATGGAAAATCACCATTTATAGTGGATTTTCCCATTAAAAATTGTGATTTTCCATAGCTATGTTAAATTACCAGAGGGTAATGTCATTGCTGATCAATGGCTCTTGGCCTGGGAATGGCCTGACCTGAATTTTTGGTTGAAATCCCATGGTGCGGTGGTTTTAAACGTTGAAATACTCATTGTTTGCAGCAAAAAACACTGCAGTGTTGCAGAATCCAGCATCAGCACCCTTAGCTGAACATGCTGCTATCAGCGGCTGACGTGTCTCTTTTTGGATGGTTTTCATTCTTAGTGGCAAAATCCTTCACGGTAGATCATCGAGTGGGTTCCATGAAGAATTTCATAAGAACTTCCCCCTTAGCTGAAAGATTCACCATGGATTCTTCTCCTTTGACCAGGTCAAGGGCAAGAAGGAACCTACTGTGATTTATGAGGCGTGGGCGACCTGAAAAGCTCATACACACATCTGGGTATGCATGAAATGTAATATCACTAATTATCTATATGAAAAACATATACATTATACATACGTATGTATACATATACAAAAGTTCTATTATGTATATATGACAGATAATACATACATATATTCATTTACTTATTCATTAATTTTTATCACTTTATTGATCTGTTTATATATCACATTAATATCTATATATCTATATATATAATATCTATATATAGATATATGATATAATATGTTCTCAGTTCATATCCTGTGAATCTCTGTGCCAGGTCATCGGCCGTGACTTACGTGGCGAGGCGTGTTTTTTTTTAAATTATTTTCACCACCAAACATGGGGGGGATTTCACCAAAGAAAATGGGGAATTTCAAGGGAAATCAAAGGCAGTTTGATGGATTTCAAGGGATTTTGATGGATTTGATCAACATGTTTTAGCCAAGGAAACTAAGGAAACAGGTGGATATTTGCCTGATTAACCAAAAAAGGAGGATTCAAGCAGCAATGTTAAGATGAATTCAAGCAATACTGAAACATACTGAAACAACAATAAGACATATCGCCACCAAAAATGGGCAGGGCAATGATGTCAAGGGGATTTGGTGATGAGTGACCATGGGTTGGTACGGGGTAGAGCATCAGCTAGCAGCGAGATTTTGGGCGTTTTATAGCCAGCTAGGTTTTGACCCATAGGAAAAATCACTGCAAGAGGATCTCAGGATAATCTCACTGGAATACCAATACCTTATATTATTTATATTGGGATAAGAACACTCCTGTTCTGTAGATTTTCTATTAAAGAATCATTCCATTAAGACATCACTGACACAACGCTACATTGCTCTTCGAAATGGTATTAATCGGGCGTATTCTTTAACATTGAAGAAAGTTGTTGCTCTCCACAGGTGCAATTTCAAGTCAGCTATATTATATATTTAGTTTCCGAAGATTTCCCCCCGGGGGTGGCACTCATAGCATAGCATAACATGGTTACCTGGAAAATCCCCATATTTTAGTTCGATAATTTTCCCATAAATCGTGAAGGGGGGAAACCCCACTACCAGCCATGTTTGATTCTTGGTGAGTTATCTCCTTTATTTTCCCATCTAATCCCATTCTATCCCCATTACATACCATTAAATCCCCATGATATCACCATTAATATCCCATATTATCCCATATTATCCCATGTTTGATGACACCATCACCATTATATCACCATTATATCACCATTATAATCCCCATTATATCACCATTATAATCTCATTTTTTCCCCATTACATACCTTTCAATGCCAAAAAATGCTTTGCTTCGATGCGCGAGCGCAGGATGATGCGCTGCCAATCAATACCAAGCAGCCCATCCTGCCGGAAAGGCCGATGGGCGAGGGGCCCCTGTTGAGCCCCCTGTTGATTTAATGGGTACATAAGATAGAATGGGAATTTTTAATGAGGATATAATGGGGTTCAATGGATTTAATGGCATTCAACGGATTGAATGGGGATATTATGAGATAATCATAGGGATATACTGGGATGACAATGATGATTGTGATGGTAATGATGGAAATAAGAATGGAATTCAATGATGATGTACCCTATGGTATCATCAGACATGGCTGGCTGGGAAAGCCTTTGCAAATGGAGGTTCTAATGGGGGGAAATCATCGATCTTTGCAAATGGATTTTCCAGCTAGAGGGTATATATTAATACCCATTGGCTTTGGATTCTGATGGTGCGTTACGTAAGACCGTAAGCATTTTTTTTCAATTTTTGATGACCATGGCCCATAAAATCTAGTAATCTAGTGTGTATGTGTATATATATATATACACATGTACATGTACATATACTCTACATGGATGTA